AAACCCCAAATCCAAACCCCTAAACCGTAAACCCTAAACCATCCTAAACCCGAAGCCTTCCCCTAAATATCCTAAACCCCAGGTGTGCTTGGCAAATCGAGCTCCGCACCTCCATGTTGCTGTGCATGTTGCTGTAGAGGTCTCGGCAGGCATCCTGCTCTCGGCCTCAGGCCGGGTTTTGGGTTTGGGGTTTGAGATATGGGATTAGGATTTGGGGTTTGGGGTTTAGGGTTTAGGTTTAGGGTTTAGGTTTAGGGTTTAGGGTTTCAGGGCTTAGGGGCTTGAGCTCGACCCTGAAACCATCAAAACCCTTACACCCTTGAAGCAATCAAACCTGTTAAAACCTTAAACCCATTAAAACCTTAAACCCGTACACCCTTCAAGCCTTTAAACCTGAAGCCCTTCAAACCCCAAACCCCTTAAACCTCAAACCGGTCCTCAGAGCTTTAGGAGGTTTTGGGTTTAGGGTTTAGGGTTTAGGGTTTCGGGTTTAGGGTTTAGGATTTAGGAGTTGCTGAGCTTTCGGGCCTTACGGTTCGGGCATTGGGGACTCCAGGTGGGTTCGGGGGTTAGGGTTCAGGGTCTGGGGTTTAGAAGCCCTAAAGCCTATCAACCCTGAACCCCTAAAAACCGTAACCCTGAAGCCGCAAAGCCTTAAACCCTGAACCCCAGACACAACCCTTCACCCGAAAGCCCAGATGAAATACAACTTGAGTAAACCCTAAACCCCTCAAACCCTGAACCCTGACCCCTAAACCTCTAAACCCTAAACCTCTAAACCTCTAAACTTCTAAACCACTAAACCTAAACCTCTAAACCCTAAACCGCACAAGAGGGTCCCTTCGTCGAGCTCAGTCCGGCACACGAGTCCAGATAGCAGAGCTGGTCAAGCTCGGCCTGGGGTGCAAGGGTTCAAGTTGTTAATTGAGGGTTTAAGGGTCTATGGGTTTAAGGGTTTATGGGTTTTAAGGGGTTTAGGGGTTTTATGGGGTTGAGTTGATTCGGGTTTAAGGCTTTAAGGATTCATGGGTTGTAGGGTTTAAGGGGCTTTCAGGGTTTAAGGGGTTTTCCGGGCTAAAGGGTTTAGGGGTTTACGCGTTTAAGGTTTTAAGGGTTTAGGGATTTTGGGGGTTTAGGGTAGCTCTGGGGGTTTAGTCTGGGGTTGGCGGCTTGGGTTTGGGAGGTGACACTCCGAAGCCCAAACCCCTGCTTGACCATCGTACGACTTCAGATTCGAATCTCATGACCGCTAAACCCTAAACCCTAATACCTAAACCCTAAACTCTAAACCGCAGCCCTTGCACCCTACCTACTCAAACTCTCAAGACTACTGTACAAGCCCTAAAAGGCCACAAGCACTTGACCCTAAGCCTCCATCGGCCTAAACCCTCAGTCCTCTAGCTCAACACTATGCAGGGAACCCTAAGCCCTAAACCCTAAACCCCCAAACCCAAATCCCAAACCCTAATTAAACCCCATAAACCCTAAACCCTTAACCCTAAACCCGAAACCTCCCAAAACCGGCGCCCCAAAAGCGCAGAGGAAGCCAGACGCAGCTCGGCGGCCATCTGCTGCTGGATGCGCAGCATCAGCCCACGCACGGCCAGGGCCTCGGAGGCGGGGCTTTTTAGGGTTTGGGGTGTAGGGCTTAGGGTTTAGAGTTTAGGGTTTAGGGCTTTAGGGTTCAGGGGTTTTATGGGTTTAGGGTTTAGCCAGAAGGAAGCCTGACCCCCAACAAACGTGGGAACAGGGGCCCCTCTGGGTCCGAGTAATTCAGATTTCTAAGGGCCTCTGTGCAGTTCTAGGTTTTAGCGTTTGGGTTTAGGGTCCGGCGTTCGAGATGTAGGGCCTAGGGTTTAGGTTTTAAAGGGTTTTGGGGCTTTCAGTTTTAGGTTTTGGAGGGGTTGAGGCGTTTCGGGGGTGAGGGGTTTAAGCCTTAGGGGTTTAGGAGTATAGGGTGTAGGGCTCGGGTTGAGGTGTTGAGGGTTGTTGGGGTGCAGGGATTTGGGGGTTTAGAGATGTAGGAGTATAGGGCTTCAAGTTTAGGAGTTGAGGGGTGTAGGAGTGCAGGCTTTAGGGTCTTAGTCTCTGGCGCCATGTAGTCGTCCGTGCCCAATAGTGAGTCTGGCCGGAGCTGCCAGCACGTGTCTGGGCCCTCAAGAACTTCACCCTGAGAAGATCTGCACCAGTGGCTGGGCTCCCCGGCCGGGGCTCGTTCGTCCGAAGGTTTAAGGTCTAGGCTTTAGGGTTTGAGGTTTTGGAAGCAACAGCAGTCAGTCCACACATAGCCCAATAACCAACGCAACAGAACTTACCCGAGACCCTATGAGCGCCTAAATCCTCTGGGCCCTCAGAACCCTACGTCCCTAAACTCCAAACCCTACACCCTAGGTTCTAGACCCTAAACCCTAAATTCTAAACCCTAAACCCTAAACCCTAAACCCTCAAGACTGTAGGCTCCCGCGCTGCGCCAGCAAAGTTGGGATGGCCCTGTAGCACTGGGAGGGGCGGCGCCTTCCTGTTTCAGGTTTAGGGCTTAGGGAGGCACAAGGGTTAGGGTTTAGGGATTAGGGTTTAGCGCTTCAAAGGGGGAACCTTGAGAAAGAAGGGGGGGGGCCCTGTGCGGGCTACAGCAAGGCTATGTCGGGACTACTATAGGGTTTCAGGGTTTCCCCACACCCTCAACCCCTTTTGGCGGCTTCAGTACATAGTATATTCAGGGGTTCTAAATGGGCAGAAGGCAAGTTCCCTTCTAGGATTTACTCCGAACTCTGGCTCGCAAAGACTAAAGGATCCTTTAGGCAGGGGTGAGGGTTTAGGGGTTGAAGCATTGAACCCCAAGGCTGGAACTGGTTTAGGGTTTAGGGTTTAGGGTTTAGGGTTTAGGGTTTGGGGTTTGGGGTTTGGGGTTTAGGGTTTAGGGTTTAGGGTTTGGGGTTTAGGGCTTTAGGGTTGGGGTGTTGTGGGATTTGTTGGGTATTCGGGTTTTAGGGTTTGTTGTGCTAGGGAGCTTTGTTGGCTTCGCTACTGGGTATCTGGCCTTCCTTCTGGTACATGGTTGTGCCAGGTAGGGCTTACGTCGGAAAGCCCTATCTCTCAGACAAAAAAAACCTCAACAAACAATCAAGATGTTGGGCTGATCACTGCATACGCTTATCAATTGTCGGCACCCTAGACTTTGAGGCTACCACGGAGGTGTGGGGTTTAGGGCTTATTCGGCGCCTGAATTGGTCGAACTCCTTCTTGATGTTGTGGTTGAGCTCCTGACATCTCTTCCAGGCGTAGGGAGGGTTTGGGGCTTGGGATTTGGGACTTAAGGGGTTCCTGCCTGCTAAAGCCTACACCAACTTCTGCTGCTGATTCATGAGAGCCCTCATGAAACGTCTTGGGCTTCGAACGTGTAATTATGGCTCTGTAGTGGAGGCTCTGCACCCTCTTAAGTGGCTCACAAGAGAAGCACCCACCTGCCACAGATTTTGGCCTTTGGAACAGGGAACGGCTTCTAAACCAAACTCAACGCTAAGCCCTGAGCCTGAACCCTACACCGCAAACCCCTTACACGTCTGTATTTTACCCTAAACCCTAAACCCTAAACCCTAAACCCTAAACCCAAAAAAACCTAAAGTGCCCAGGCACGTTCAGGAAGACGTTGTACAAGGTCTCGCCCTTCTTCTCCACGAAGGCCTTCACGCCTTAGCAAGTCACAGCAGCTCATGGCAGCACTGGACTCAGGGTAGGGTTTAGGGTTTAGGGTTTAGGGTTTAGGGTTTAGAGTTTAGGGTTAGATTCAGGTTTAGGTTTAGGCTTCCATCCAACCCTTTCCCTATCTGGAATCGGAAGTAATTATGTCAGATCTGTTCCCAGAACCCTTTGAACATCTTTGCACCAAAGCCTACAATACGGTCTGAACCCTCAACCTACAAACCCCTTAAGCGCTATAAACGCTACAAGCCTTCAAACCCTAAGAGACCCTGAACGGAAAACCCTTGAAAACCCAGCAAACCCTGAACTGAACTCGCTCAATAGCGCAGGCTTGTCCCTGAGCCCGCGGCGTTCCCTCTTGGCCAGTTGGTAGAAGCTGTCAAGCACTTGGCAGGCCGTCCTAAGCTTGCAAAGGTGATTTGAAACCGAAAGCCACTAACCCCGTAACAGGACACTTCAGGATTCAGGGTGTAGGGTTTAGGGTTGAGGGTTGAAGGTTTGGGGTAAGGGCTTGAGGTCAGAAAACGACTGGCTTGCGGTGAGAAGTATGGGTGCATGATTGGCATGCCAGCTGCCTCTCAACTGCACACGCATAAACCCTAACCCAGAAGCCCATGTGCTGATTGCGAGTACAATGACAACAGACCCACAGGAACTGCCAACCGCTCCAGTGGTAGAACAGTTAAGGCTCCCTAACCTACTGTCTATATGCCCTTAACTCACTTCATGCTTGAAAGCAAACATCTCCTGAAACTCGAAGGGCAGCCGTCTGCGGTGAACAGCTACACAGTGGCGGGGTATGCGATGTGAGGAAAAGGCGGCAAGTCAACCCTCTGCCTTGCATCTTTCCCTTATCAGCAGCATCAATGCGCAGTCCGCTAGCGGTGACTTTGTAGCAGCACATGGTCATGCGCTACAAAGATCTAGTATACAGCTTGCAGCAATGCATGCATGGTTCGACGGTGCCCTTCCTGAACTTAGCATGCTTCCAGGCTTTGATTGCTTCACAATGGGGACAGTTCACAGTCTGAAAAATGCAGCCATGGATGCAAGAGCATGTGCAAGCGACGCCGTTCTCATAGCCATCACTTGGCCACTTGTTGATTTCCAGGCAATGAGGGCAATTCACTGTCTGAAAGCGCTTCTTGCAAAAGGGGTTGCGGCATGCGTATACGATGCCCTCTTTGTAGTCAGCATTCTTCCACACGTGGCACCTCTGACAATGCGGACAGTTGACGGTCTGAAAGCTCTGCTTACACGTTTCATAGGTGCATGTGTGCACGATGCCCTGCTTGTAATTAGTCGGCATTCTTGAACATGTTGACCCGGCGACAATGCGGACAAGCGACAGTCTGAAATTTCTTCATGCACGAGTCGTGCGCGCATGTGCGCACAACGCCGTCCTTCTTGGGGTCCTCGAGGACTCCAACTGTGCACGCGGTCCAGAAGGAACAATGCGGACAACTGGCTGCTGTAGTGAGAAAGCGGTGCAAGCAGATCTTGCACTTGCATTCCCACATCTTGATACCAAATGTCTTCCTCTCAATGTCACTTGTCTGACAGCTCGGACAGTTGAGTTGCACAAACTGCTTCTTGCACGATTTGCAGGCGCCTGCAGGCTCACTGTCAACATCCTTGGACATGTTGATCTGGCTACAATGCGGACAGCTGACTGCCTGAAAGCGCTTCTTGCACCGTTCGTGAGCACATGTGTACACATGGCCGTTTTCGTAGCCAGTGTCCTTCCAAACGTTGATCTCCTGACAATGCGGACAGCTGACTGCCTGAAACTGTTTCTTGCATGCTTCGTGCACATGTGTCGACGCAAGGCCCTCGCTACCCTCGTTGCACGTGGCAAAATTCCCAACCCAGATGCCCTGGCAATGCGGACATACAACTGTCCCGAAGCGCTTTCTACACTGGTCACGGATGCATATGTGCACAACACCTTTCTTGTCTCTGGCATTCTTCCACGAGTTCACGCCCCGGCAATGCGGACAGCGAACTGTCTGAAAGGGTTTCTTGCACCAGTCGCATGTGCATGCAAGGCCGTCTTGGAAATCAGGGCCATTGTAAGCATCGATCTCATGACAATGCGGACAGTTGACTATAAGAAAGCTCTTCTTGCAGGCCCGGTGGTGGAACGCGAATTCAAAAGCCTGTGTGTGACCACCATTCCTGGGCACCTGATAGCGCATGCATCACAGTGCGGACAGACTATCTTGGTGCAGGGTCGCACCAGGCAAGGAACAGTTCGCCACTCGAGACCTGCTCCAACTCGTACGCATATGTCTGTTATGCTTGTTTGGTATCCATACCGGAAGCTGTATATCTCACCAGGAACAGTCAGGTGCTTGTGATGATCACCCCAGCTGTTGTCCACATGAAGCCTCCCCGGCGAAGCGGATCGAACGTGCATGGCATGCAAGCCATGTGTGCCAGCCTGCTTTCTTTCGCCCACCACGATCCCCCGCTGTTCGATGCCCTGCAAAGCCCTCACAAAAACATCTAACATCTCAAACTTCTCATTGGTGATGCGAAAAGTGAGATGTTTGTGGCAGTCTGTCAGCCACAAAAAAGTTTTTTGCCGCAATGCTCTGGTTCAACACCTCCACGAGGTACTCCAAGCTCACGCCATGGACCACAATATCTTGATTGCGCTGATTTCTTAGATTCAGACTGATCACGCGTTCTGCCATCTTCTGCACAGAGGCCATCTGTAGGCTACCAATCTGTAGCTGGTCAATCTGCAATTTCAGGCTGCCACGCAAGGCAAATTGCAACACAGGAGTTCCAGGGCCCTTGATCGCCAGAGCAGCATAGGCTGGGATCGCGCACGGGCAGGCTCTCTTCCATGGCTCGATGTGCGCTGTCGCTGAAGACCAAGCATCTTGAGTGCCTACCGCAAGAAGCCCTGTGCACATGAAACGACACTCTCTGCTCTTAACCCGAATTTCGGATGCTTTGCTGAGCCCTGCCGGCAGATTGCCCAAGTTGCCCCTACGAGCCTAAACCCTAAACCCTAAACCCTTTGAAGCCTAAAGAAGCCCGAGGAGGTCATGGCGTTTGGAGTCTTGAGCTGAGAACGCGCAGCGGAAAACAACTTGAGCTTAGCAGCCAATACTTAAGGTTTATGGGCTTCTTTAAGGGCTTGGGATTCGGGTGTAAGATGAAAATGCCGATCGTCTGCGATGAAAGCTGGCCTTGCAACAAAAGCAGTATTCTGGGTAGTTACGTTACATATAGTTGCGAGGTTGACGGTGTGATGTTGGCACTTGTGTAGAGATTGCTGTCCAGAGAAGCCGCGGAGCAGGCAACTATGCTGGCATCGTGAAAAACAACCAACGGCTATGTCGCCATCCCTAAACCCAAAAACCCTAAAACCCCTAATGCCCTGAACCCTAACCCTAAACCCTAAAACTCCTAATTAAACCCTAACACCCTATACCCTAAACCCTACAAAACCCAAAACCCAAAACCCAAAACCCTAAACCCTAAACCCTAAACCCCAACCCCCCCCCTCCCCCCCCAAACCCCCCCCACTAGCGGCAGCCAGGGAGCTGCACAGTCCCCACACCTTCAAAAGCGCTGTTGATCACCTTGGCAGCATGAGGAGGCTCACTTGGCAGCTAACTCAGGGTTTGGGGTTTAGGGTTTAGGGTTTAGGGTAACCCGAAACTGAAAAACCCCAAACCTCAAACCCTAAACTCGTGCTTGGGGTCGAGGTTGGTCTCAATGGGTGCGGCGGCCTCAGAATTTATGTAGCTGGGGGTAAGGGGGGCTGAAGGAGATGCTGCTGGCAGGTACCCACATGCTCAACATACCTTTTATGAGATGCTTCCTCTGGACTATTGACTTTGTTCAACATCGGGGGGAAAGCTCATCATCCCGAACCAACTCGCGTGTTGTAGACTGAAAGGGCGCGCACAGGGTTTAGAGTTGGAGGTCAGAGTCGTGGAGTTTTACACAATGCCGAGCCCTCCTGCTGCATTGAAACTACGCGACCTTTGACCTGAAACTGGTCCTCGTGCATTCAACGCCGGGCAAGACGACTTATAGACTGTCCACAGACATGGTCACAAGGAAAGAACACAAAGTCTTGCCCACATGGCCGCATTGCTGAAAGCATGTAAAACTCGAAGAAGGTTAGCTTGGACAGCGAAACTGTGCACTGAACTTGACCTCTGCTACCCTTACCCCCCAAAACAACCAAACCCTAAACCCTGAACCCTAAATCCTAACCTAGGAATACAAAGGGTGCTCCGGCAATTGTGCTTAATCGGGTTCATAAGTTTATAGGCCAAGTTGACCCAACAAGAAAGGAACAAGGGCATCACGGGGCATTCTCGGTTCTGAATCTTAAACACTACCTGAAGAACCCAAAGCCCCCTGATTTTGTAGGTTCCCTAGGAATCCAAAAGGGTTGTATAGTAATCGCCTACAAAAAAGGAAGTTTGGGGTTCTTAAGGTACACCCTGAAGAGGGCTAAGGATACCACGTTGCCCTACACGCTATATACCCTAAAACGGGGATAAGGGCACCACGAAGCGTCCTGGACCCTAAACCCTAAACCCTAAACCCTAAACCCTAAACCCTAAACCCCCCCAAAATCTACCCCGCAAAGCCCTAGCTGCCCCAAAAAAGTTGATCCTAAATGGTCCTAAAGGAGTTGCCGAAACATTCCATCTCCTTAGGTTTTCTGCATTTTGCACAGTCTCCCTTGAGACACGTTTCACCCCAAAACTTTCATAAACTTAAGACCCCAAAACCCAAAAACCTTGACAATCCCAACCCTGAACCCTCAACAACTGTGCCCAAGGGTTCCTGACCAAGGGACATTCATGTACATCACCTGTCTCAGGCCAAGGGTGTGCAACTACTCAGGGGAGGCCATCGGTTCTGGGGATTAGGGTTTAGGGTTTAGGGTTTAGGGGTTAGAGTTTAGGGCCAGTTTCGGGTTTAGGGTTAGGGGGTCAGGGAAAATAGGGTTTAGGGTTGAGGGCTTAGAGGCTAGGGAAGCGCCAGGCACTGAGAGACACTGGGTTGGAGAACGAATGTTGCAAACCAAAACCCCAGCCTCAAACGAATGCCAAGGTTCCACGACAAAAAGGTGGCTGTCCAGATGCAGGTTTTTGGGGTTCTTCGTGCCTCTAAACCTTAAACCCTCAACCCTGAAGCCCCTCGCAAGGCCGTACAAATCCTACAGTTCTGCAAGGTCTCCACCCCTACGACCCTAAAACCCAGAACCCCTAAACCCCTCAGCCCGAAACCTAAAGACGCTTTACTGCCCACAATCCCAAACCCTATGTGCCTAAACCTCATACTCATAAGCCTCAACCCTAAACCCTAAACCCTAAACCCTAAACCCTAAACCCCAAACCCCAACCCTAAACCCTAAACCCTAAACCCTAAACCCCTACAAGCCCTCAAGCCCATACGCCCAAGCACCTCCAGGTCTCTCATCTGGTTCTTGAAAGCACCGAAGTGGTCCGGCCTTTGGTGGTTTTGGATTTAGGGTTTGGGGTTTAGGGTTTAGGCATAACTTTAGGGTTTAGGGTTTAGGGCTCAGGGTTTAGGATTTCGGGCTTAGGAATTAGAGGGTTTGGGGTTGAGGGCTTAGTGACGGATGCTTGGGGTTCAGGGTCGAGAGAATGAGGGTTGAGGTCAAACGTCCCCAAGGGCCGTGAGCCTGATAGCAGGATGGGCTTTTAGGGTTGGGGTGCTTTTGTGGGCCTCGGTGATGTAGGTGTGTTGGGTTTGTTCCCGAGATTTCGACGAAGCAGAGTTGGGGCCCGACAGATGACTAAAGCTGGAGGTTGGGATGTTCCCCCCATATACCAACAGTCCTCAACAGGGATTACAAAGGGGGTACTCTAATCCCTGCTAAGAACTGTTAGTATAAGGGGGGAACATCCCAAGCTTGAGGTGTTGATATAGGGGTCGGAATAATTACAAACAGTACTCCCCTATGGTCCCTTTAGCATTCTACGATAAGAACCCCCAAATTCTTGTTCTAATTACTACGGCTGTGGATTCGTGGCATTTCGGAGGTTGACATGTCGCGCCTTCTTCCTGTACGACTTTCCTACCCCGACCCAACGGCCTAAAGCCCAAACACGCAAACCACCTACACACTATAAGCCCTGAACCCAAAACCCAAAACCCTATACCCTAAATCCGAACACCCTACCACCCTAAACCCCAAAGTGCTCGAGAGCTAACACCCTAACACCCAAGACCCCCCAAAAGCCCCCAAACCCTGCAACGTGCTGGGGTGCGAGCCATTTGGGGGCACGGACATCCAGGATGTCGTAGTCCACGTGGGGGTACTGGAGGCGGGACAAGTTCTTCAGGAAGTTGTCCTCGATCTCGTAGAGGGAGTTGCTAATCTCGCCTGAATCAGGTTTCTAAACCCTAAAACCTAAACCCTAAACCCTGAACCCTAAACCCTAAACCCTAAACCCTAACCCTAAAACCTAAGCCCTAAGCCCTTTAGGCTGATCTGAACTTGACTTAATTAGGGTTTTGGAAGTTTGAGGTCAAGGATGTATATATCTATATCTATATCTATATATATATATATATAGTTCAGGGTTAAGGGTTAAGGGTTAAGGGTATAGGGCTTTTGCAGTTTGTGGGGGGCATTCGGAGGGGATGTGAATGCCGTCTTGCCCTACCAAGGCTCCCATGCTGTCCCACCCTAAACCCTAAACCCTAAACCCTAAACCCTAAACCCTAAACCCTAAACCCTAAACCCTTCACAGTCGATTCCCGGCTCCACATCTCTTGGCTTTCTGGGAGGAGCTCTTGCAAGTCACTGGCCAGAGAGGGCGCTGGCTTAAGGGCATGGATGAACTCTTGTCTTCACAGTGGAGTCCCTTCACAGGTTCGCGCGAAAATCATCATCGCGGAGCTTCCAGTGTGCGGCATCCAGCTGGACGTTTGACACAGTGACTTGAGGCAGACCCCAAAGGATCCATGTACCTATATGGTCTATACTTGGGCCTTAAAGGGGTTCCTCTATAGTAGCTTTAGGGCCCAAGAATATACTATATAGGTACATGGATCCCTTGGGGACTGCATGGAGGTTGCAGGGGTCTGTCTTCTCAGCTTTGGAATGCCTCGGCCAGCGTCCCGCAAGTCATTGAAGGTCGGTTCACGTGGACGACTGGACAACATGGATGTGAAGTCGTCGCAC